ACTCATGGTGGAAAGTGGTAGGCAGCCAGTGGGTATGAGCAGATCACATGGCAGGAGGAAGCAAGAGAGAGAGAGAAGGTGCCAGGGTCTTTTTAAACAACCAGCTCTCATGGGAACTAATAGAGTGGGAACTCACTTATTACTCTCCCCTCCCCCAGGAAGATGATTAATCCATTCATGAGGATTCTGCCCCTATGTCTCAAAGAGCTTCCAGCACTGCCACATTGGGGATCAGATTTCCACATGAGTTTTGGTGGGGACAACACATCCAAACTCTATCAGCGCCTAACCATTTGCCAGGCGGAATCCTGGCAGTGAGGTCATGGGACCAAAGGGAGAACATTTCTATGACCACGAGCATATTGCCAATGGTTTTCCAGAAGTTCTGTATCAGTTGTCATCCTGCCTGGCAGTATATGGGCTATGTCTCACCCGCCCTCAACTGTGGTAACTACTATCATGTTTAAAATATTTTCCCAGTTATTTCTTCTAATCTTCTGGGAACTCTTTCATGTTTGAAGTAATATTCATTGTGAATAATTCAAACAATACAAAATTGAAGAAAGCTATGGCACCCTGTGAGTGCTCTGTCCAAAGATCTTAGAATTTTTCTGTAAATATGAACCTCCCTTTTTGTTTATATAAAGCTGATTATATACATATATATTCATGTATATATGGTGTGTGTGTGTGTGTGTGTGTGTGTGTGTGTGTGTGTGTGTGTTGTGGCTGGTTGGTTCAGGGATCCAAACACTTAATACTGGTGTTAGTTACAAGGTGGTGCTCTAACGAACTGAGCTCAGCAGCCACCTATTTGGTATATTTATATGGCATAGTCACACACACAAATGATTTTAGAAGTTACTTTTTTTTACTTGGTATAATGTGGATATTTTCCCATGACAATACAAAATATACACATATTATGCATATTACAGAAAAATATATACATATGTATCTTCATTTTTGTAACAGCATCTAGCATTTATTTAGCACTTAACATGGGCCAGAAACTGTTCTAAGTAAGTTAAAATAACCCAACGAGGTGAATACATTGTTATCTAGTGTTTCTATATAAAGAAATTAAGGCACAGAGAGGTTAACTGACTTGCTCAGGGTCACCCAGCTGGTCACTATCAGTCCTGAATTTGAACCCAGATGATCTGGCCCTAGCACTCACATCACAGAGGATGAAGAACATCACAGGCAGAGGGAACCACGTGTATGAAAGAGCTGGGCATGCTGGAGAAATGGTTGGAACTCCCTGTGGCTAGAGTTTGACTCAAGTTCAGAGACTGGAACAGAGGCTGGGGGATTCAGTTGGGTCCTGCTTGGAAAAGGCTATGTGTGGTAACCAGGAAGCCATTTTCAAACTTTTCTTCAAGATCCAATTTAAATCCCTCTTGCTAGGATGTCTTCCTGGAATTGCCTTCCTGAATTATTATATTTACTGGTTTATTATAAAGGATATCACAAAGGATACCAATAAAGGGATGCATAGGGCAAGGTATACGGGAAGGGGCACGGAGCTTCAGTGCCCTCCCCAGGTGTGCCACAGTAGAGGAACCTCCATGTGTTCAGCTATCCAAAAGCTCCTGAATCTTCATTTTCAACAGCTGCACAATATTTAATGCTAGGGTTTCTTTAATTTGTTCAACTAATTCCTATTAATGGACATTTAGGTTGTTTCCATTTTTTTCCATCACTGGTCTTTTATTATTTGACACATTTGTAAGTATGTCTATGAGATGAATTCCTACACATATTCTGTGGGATCATACAATGAATGCTGCATTTAAAATTTTCCTAGTTATTGCTAAATAGTCTTCCAAAAAAAGGTTGGTATGGGTTACATGACTCCTGGAAGTGTATATGAGGCCTATTTCTCTGTTCCTCTACTTCCTTCTCAAATACTTGGTATTTGTTATTTTTTAAACATTTTTAAGCTGAGAGGTAAAAATGTCCTGTTGATGGTGAGATGAATGATCTTTTTATGTGTTTATTGATGTTTTGTATTCTGTGAATTGCCTGTTTATGTATTTTGCCCATTTATTGGGCATTCTTTTTGTATTGGTTTGTAATAACAGCAAGTCTTTATACATTATGCATATTAACCCTTTGATATATAAGTTACTAATAGTTTCTCCCAGTTTATTTCTTTTTCAATTTTGTTTATGGCATATTTTGTTACACATAATTTTTAAATTTTTAGGTATTACAATCTATTTTTATTTTTCTTCATAGTTCTTGGGCCTACGATCATGCTAAGAATGGCCTTCCTCACCCCCAAGGTTATAAAGAAAAAGTTCTCCTGTATTTGATTCTAGTACTTTTTTTTTTTTTTTTAAAAGACCAGTAAGGGGATCTTAACCCTTGACTCCGTGTTGTCAGCACCACGCTCTCCAAGTGAGCCACGGGCCGGCCCTCTTTTATTATTTCTAAAAATTAAAATTTTATTTTATCTGGATTTTTTTGTTGTTGTTGTTTATGATGTGAAGTAGAGATTTACTATCAGCCAAAAGTATTCTGCTTGCTTAAGGAAGAAATGAAATTTATTGGCTTATGTAATTCAAAAGGTTCACCTTCAGGAACAGATGGATCCAGGTGCATAAGCGACCCGTCAGCAATCCGTTCCCTCCTTCTCTCAGCTCTTTTTTTTTTTTTTTTGGTTAAATTCATTTTCTGGCAGGTTCTCCCCTTATGGTAGCAGGGTGGCCACCAGAAGCTCCAGGTTTATCTCCTGTCAACTTGGCAACCCAAACAAAGAAAGCAACTCTCTCTCTTATCCCTCGCACCCCCATTCAGTAAATTCTATCCACTCTTCCTTCAGATGTTGAATTTGACCACTTCCCACCCCTCTCGACATCTCCCAACATCGCAGTCGCCTCCTCACGGGTCTCCCTACTTCTATCTTTGCCTCCACTCTGTCTAACCTCAACGTAGCAGTCAGAGGAGTCCTGCTAAAACATCAGCCTACCACATCACACTTCTGCTCCAAGCCCGCAAGCAGCACCGCACACCTCTCCCAGTAAACATCGAAGCCCTTCAAGTGCAGTCTGAGCCCCGCTCGGTCTGGCCCCTGGCCCCTCTCTGACAGCGGCTCCCCCTTGCTCATTCTGCTCCAGCCACTTGGGCCTCCTCGCTCCTTCCCACATGCACCAGCACTGCCATCTCCCTACATTTGCCTTAGCTTTTCCCTCTGCCTAGAATTCTGTCCTCACAGATGTCCACGTCGCTTCCTCCCCGGATCTCTGCTCAAAGTCCCCTCTCAGAGAGGCTTTTCCTTAACACCCTTTCCTATGGCCTGAATGTGTCCCCCAAATTCACATATTGAAACCTAACCCCCAGTGTGATTATTTGGAGGTGAGGCTTTTGGGAGGTGATTAGTTCATGAGGGCGGAGCCCTTGTGAATGGGATCAGTGCCCTTATAAAGAGACCCTAGAGAGCTCCCTTGCCCCTTCCACCACGTGAGGACAGTGAGATGACGGTCGTCTATGAACCAAGAAGCCTTCACCAGACACTGAATCTGTTGGCAGCTTGATCTTGGACTTCCCAGATTCCAGGACTGTGAGAAATAGATTTTTGTTGTTTATAAGCCACCCAGTCTATGCAGCCAGAATGGTCTACGACACACTTACACTCCTTTCATTTATCTATTGTTGTCTCTCCAACTAGAACATGAAATGAGCTACATGGGGATATTTTCACGTGTTGTTCCCAGCTGTATCTCCAGCTCCTTGGACAGTGCCTGGAACCTGGTAGCCTTCAAGAACATTTGTTGAATGAAAAATAAAACACCTCAAAGCCAGCCACCTTAATAACACCGTGAATTACAGTAGTTTCCTATTGGCTGCTGTAACAAATTACCTTAACTTGGTGGCTTAAAACAACACAAATTTACTGTCTTATGATCCCAGAAGAAGATCCAAATGGGTTTCAAAATAGAAAGCCTAAAATGGGTTTCACTGGGTTAAAATGAAGGTGTTGGCAGGGCTGCGTTCCTTCTAGTGGCTCTGGGGAATAATCTGTTTCCTTGCATCTTCTGTTTCTAGAGGCCACCTGCATTCCTTATGGCTCCTTCCTCCATCTTCAAAGCCAGCAGCACAGCATTTTCAAGTCTCTCTCTGACTTCGACTGTCCTGCCTCCCTCTTATAAGGATCCTTGTGATTACAATGGGCTCAGCTGGATAAACCAGGATTATCTACCCACCTCAGGATTCTGAACTTAATCACACCTGCAAAGTCCCTTTTGCCATTTAAGGCCACATATTCATAGATTTCAGGGGTTAGGACATGGACATCTTTGTGGGGCCATTATTCTGACTACTACACTCTCCCTCTTCAGTTCTAATTTTCAATTTGTTATCTTAAATTTCCTAGAGACAGGCCAGTTCGTGGCTCACTCGGGAGAGTGCGGTGCTGATAACACCAAGGCCCCGGGTTCGGATCCCATAGAGGAATGGCCGGTTTGCTCACTGGGTGAGCGTGGTGCTGACAACACCAAGTCAAGGGTTAAGATCCCCTTACCGGTCATCTTTTAAAAATATACAAACAAACAAACAAATAAATAAATAAATTTCCTAGAGAAGCTTTATATAATTTTAAACATTTCCCCCTACTATTTCAGTGGGCTTTAAATTATCATTATATGCTATACATATAATCTGGATATTGGCTTTCCCTTTGGAGGGATACTCCACAGCTGGGGCTTATGTTTCTGTGTCTCATTATCTTAGCACATATACTAGGATATTTTGTTAGCTTCTGCAGACCCTGTGGTTGATTTCCAATACTGAGTCCCCTTTTCATCCTTGCCAACAAAACCACTGTTTTATTCAGATGTGGGCTGGTATTTGCTTGGGGAAAATGGGCTCCACCCACCTTGCCCCCAGGTCCTCAGGTGTCATGATACTCCCATGTTCTTCTGCCAGTGATTGGTCCGGGGATTGGCACATGGCTCCGTTCATGAGCTATGGGGGCAGGGGTGGTTGATGGTCAGAAGGATCCCAGTAAAGGATCTTCTCTTCCTAATATAAAGGGAGATGGGCAAGGAGAAACCTTTGACTTTTCTCCCTCCCCACCTTTGAGTGTTGTTGAGTAAAGGCATGATGCAGGGAATGCAGCAGCTATCTTGAGTCCATGAGGAGAAAGAAACAGTCCTGCCAAGGTTCAGCTGCTCAAATAACCAGCCCTGGAACCCTGTTCATCTGAACATTTTGCTACATGGAAAATAACTGTCTGGAAATAAATGTTTAACCTGCTTGTTGACAAGTGCAGAGTGTTACTTGCAGCTAAAAGCACCCTGCAGTGTAATTCCCTCATCCTACTGTATGCAGCCGTGTGTGAACCTCCTCGTTACCTATCCCAGCACTTCTGGGCCACTTCCTTCTCCTCAAGGATCATCCCCCTATACAAACGTAGTAACAAAGAACAATGGGATTTTGAGTCTAACAGAACCTAATTTCTAATCTCGCCTGTGTCCTTGCCTTGCTGTCTTACCAGTTTCCTTATCCTTTTTTTTCTTTTTCCAGTTTCCTTAACTTTTAAATGGGAATGATAGGACTGTATGAGTAGGGATATTTCGGGTTTCAAGTGGCAGAAAACTTAACTAAAAATATCTCAAACAAGAAAGATAATTTACTAGCTGAACAGCCAAAAGTACTAAAAGAAAAGCATTTATCCTGTTTAACCTAGGATCACATGATGCCTTCAGCTGGGAGTAAAAAAAAAAAAAAAAAACCCACTCAGACTGTCACAAACACCAAAAAGAAGAAGCCTACTTTAAGGGCAAACTGCACCCACTATTCCTTAATATTCCTCTACACTTCTCTTGAGATTTATATTGTTTTTATTTCACATTTATGTTCTCAAAGAATTATGTTTCTTGATCCTACAGTCCCCCCCCATTTCTATCTCAGCGCCTTGCCCGTTTCCTTCATAGCACTTGTCATATCCAATTATATGTCTTGTATTTACCGCCTGCTCCCTGACTCCCCGTGTGTCTTTCACCGCCGTATCCCCAGCGCCTACGGCACTGCCTGGCACACAGCAGGTTCTCAGAAAATAGGCACCAACTGACTGATTTACTTCCTCAAAGGCTGAAGCCGTTCCCGTCCCTACCAGCAAGGTGGGAGAATGGTGGTTTCCCCACAACGTCCTTAAGACGTTGTTTTATTAAGGCGTGGTTAAAGACAGGCTTTAATTTTGGCCAGATTGCTAAGTAAATACTTTTTCCCCTTCTTTTCTTCTGTCATTCCTCAAAGCCTTATTCAAAGACGCACCCACCTCCTTTGAGAACTCTTCCCTGACACCAGCTCTTCCAGTCCCGCCCTGCCCAGTTTTCCCTCCTTTCCCTGTGCTCTAACATACGTTTTGCATCGAGTTTTAGGACCAGATCACGCTGTCTTGCCCTGCAACATGAGGCCCTCGCCTGGAGCCGGTGCCTAGACGGTTGCCATGGAGACGGGCCGGCGCGCTGCCAGAGTTGACCGTTGCCTTGGAGACGGAACTGGCAGGGTGGGGTGGGGAGAGCGGCTCACAGGACGTAACCTGTGATCGGCCGAAACGACACGACAGCCGGTGTGGCCGCTTTCTCCTCCACTCCGCAAGCGGAAGCCAGAAAACCCCGGACACCGTGTACCCCGAGCGAAATCGGCCTCGGACGCCAGGGTTCCCTCCGCCTCCGCCATCAGAGGCGCGTCCGGCTGAGGAGCCCAAGTCTCGCGAGGTTCTGGGAATTGCAGTTCGTTAAAGAGGCGACGCAAGAGGCTGCGCACGCAGCGGCGCTGCCAACGCCTGTCGGGGAGTGGACTTTGCGGGAGAGGTTGCCCCCCAGTCTGAAGCCCCAAAGGCCTGGTGCTTGAGGACCCAGCCGTCTAATGACACTCATCGCTTTACTCTCCCCATCTTTAGCCTGAAGAGCGGCCCCGAGCAGTCTCGGCGGTTTAGGTCACAGAGGGGAACGGAAACGTGCGTGAATGTGGCGGCGGCCAACGAAGCTGCAAGGACATGGCTGGCGCGCGGCCCAGGAGCAGGGAAGGGCCGGTGTTAGAGGCGGGACAGTGACGGGGGCGGGGCTAGGGGCGGGGCTAGAAGCCGGGCTAGCGCGAGGATTGGCTGAAAGAGGCGCGGAGGGTGGCTGTTGCCAGGAAAAGGAGCGGGACCTCAGGTAAGCTGGCAAGGAGGCACGAGTGGACGGAACCCACTGAGGCTTGTCCTGAGAATCCTTAAAGCCAGTATCCTTCTTGAGTATACCGGGGAAACTGAGGCCCAGAAAGGGGAGGGGACCCTCGGGTTCGGTAATTCTCTGGAAGGACTCGCAGAACTCAGGAAAATTGTTACACTCGTGGTAACATTTATTACAGCTCAAGGATACAGATTGAACCAAGTAATGGGAAGAGGTGCATAGGGTGGAGTCCAGGAGAGACCAGGGTGAGCTTCCGGTTCTCTCCCAGTGGAGTTGTGTAGACAGCACTTAATGCTCCCAGCAACGGTGCGTGACAATATAGAGTGTTGCCAACCAGGGAAGCTCACCCAGGCCCTTCAACCCAAGGCTTTTATTGGAGGTTGGTCATGTAGACATGGCTGATCACCCGTGTGGCTTACCTTAGTCTCTAGCCCCTCCAGAGGTCAAGGTAATACTGTGTGTCCCAACACTCCCACCATAAATCTCAAATTAGCATAGACTGTCTGGCATGGTACAGGGCCCCAGGTAAACCAAGACACTCTTATCAGGTGGGGTATTCCAGGGGCTTAGCGGTTACTTGCCAGAGGCTGGGTAAGAGCCAGACCTTTCTTTGGGCAAGGTGAATCCTTTATCCTACAGGCACCATGAAGTGGGTCACCTCTGTTACCTAAGGGAGTTGTTAGCAAGTAGCAAATTCAAAATCATGGGCTGGCTGGTTAGCTCATCTGGTTAGAGCATGGTGCTAATAACACCAAGGTCCAGGGTTCAATCCCTGAACCAGCCAGCCCACCAAAAAAAAAAAAATCATTCTGATGACAAAGAGAAAGGTGGCAAAACTGAAGCACGTGTCCCATCTTGGCTTTCCTTGTTGTAACTGGTGTACATGATCTCTCAGGAATGGAATGGCCCAAGCTTTGCAACATCACATTCTCCTGATGAGTTTATCGGGTCTTTCTGTCCCTCGGTAATACCTAACATTTATCAAGCAAGGAAGCTTTTGATTCAGCATAGCATCTGCTTTTATGCAACTGCTGGTACAAAAGGAACCCTTTCTCTTTTCTATCTTGTTGGGATTTCTTTTACTAGTAAATGCTGCTCAGCCCTATAATTTTCAAAGCCAAGGAATTAAATTCTGTTAATTTATGCCTAAAAAGAAAAAAGGAGGCCTCATGTAATGAAGAGTCTGATCCTGTTTTTTTGATGTTTGACTGCTGACAGCTTTTGAACCCCACCCTTCTTTCCCCCTTGTGTCCCACATCTGGTCCAGCTGATAAGAAAGCGGAGGTTCTCCCTTCTTTGGTGATGGTGGGAAGTTTAAACCAAGTGCAAGAACCCTCCCCCAGGTTGTATTAATCAATTTCTGTTGCTTATAACAAAATACCTAGAACTGGGTGATTTATAAAGAAAATGAAATTTATTGCTTACAGTTTCTGAGGCTAAGACGTCCAAAGTCCAAAGAACACATCTGGTGGTGGTGACAGCGACCCAGGGGTCTCACATTGCAGGATGGTGGAAGCAGAGAGCAGAGAGAGAGACTCTCCTCTCCTCTTTAATCCCTCAGAACCACGCCCCTGACCGCCATTTTTAATCCATTCATTACAGCATGGTCCTACAATCTAATCACCTCTTCAAGGCTCCACCTCCCAATTACCATAATTGAATTCCCCACCCTTTTAATAGTCACAGTGGGGGCCAAGTTTCTAATACATAAAACTTGGGGGGCACAATTCAAGTTTCAATGAGTTTGGGGCAGACATAATTCAATCCACTACATGGGCCCTGTGCCTTAACCACTATACTGACCCCAAGCCAGTCCTTTCTCTCTCAAGCCATTTTTCAAACCAGTTTGGAGGCTTGCTCTGCTATCCCTAGAAAGCCTCGTTATGTAAGTAGTAAATCTGTTCATACCCTCCTGGTATGTGTGTGGTGACATCAGTCTGTATATCCAAGCCAAATTTTGTGTGGGGGGGCCATCCTGACTCTGAGGGGTGAGTGCAACACCTGAAAAGCTCAAAACTTATAAAATGGACTAGGAAAAGGCAGACTAAAATTATTATGAAATGGAATAAGTCAGTGTCGTGTTTTGCATTCTCACAAATAAGAGCCAGGAAAGGTTGCTGAGCTGAATGATGGGTTGAATTATTGCTTACTTGGTGCTCATTTATACTTGCAGGGTTCTCATCCCTCTCCATGGATTCCTGAGCAAACAAGGTGGCTGTGTCCCTCCTGCTGACCCTGGCCCTGACCTGACACTGTGAATTGGGTTCAGACACAGTTTTATCCCCTGCTCTTAAGGACTCCACATTCCAGTAGAGACCATCCTCAGAGAAGACCCCCACCCACTAACACCTTCACCTGAGAACTCCTCTGAAGATGGTAAAGATCTATCCCACACATACAGCTGCTAGACCAATTCCTGACCATCCCAACTGGTAAAATTGGAATCGGGCTGCTTCCAATGACCATCTTGTCTACATCAAAAGATACCACCCACAAATGTTCACCCAGATGCTTGAAGAAGGGAGGTGAGAATGAGAGAGCAATCAAGGATAGATGAAAACCACAGCGACATACTTTTTTTTTTTTGGCCAACCGGCCTGGCTAAAATAAAAAGACTTGATACACTAAGTTGGCTGTGATGTGGGGAAATAGTCACATTTGTCACTGGTGGAAGGGAAGATTAGTACCACTGTAACAGAAGATAATTTGGGCTGCTTTCTCCACATGTAAAATGCACATGGACTTTGGCCCCACACCTCCACCACCAGGGATAAATCCTGTGTGTGCACTTGGGCACGTGCATACACTGACACGTGCCCATCCTTACGTATGAGTAATGTTCATTCCATCATTGTTTACATTCACAAAGCACTAGGGAAACCTGAAAGTCCACTCACAGGGACTGGTTAAATTAATTGTGCTTTAACCACCCCAGGGACTAATGTGCAGTCTTCACATATTGAACTCTGAGATCTAAGTGAGCAAAGCAAGTGCAGAACCACATAGACTTGGCTGCGTTTGTATTTGTAAAAAGGCAGGATGTGTACCCCTATGGATATACTACCTGGAGGGGTACGCAGGAAACTGGGAATGGTGATTGCACCGTGGGTGGGAGATACTTCGCTGTAGACTCTTTAGTTCTGCTCATTTTTTTGTTAACCATGCATCATAGGCAAATCCTTAAGAGACAGAAAGCAGACGGATGGTTACCAGGGGCTAGAGTCATGGGAGATCGGAGAGTTGCTACTTAATGGGTATGAGGTTTCCTTTTGGGGTGATGTAAAGTTCTGAAACCAAATAGAGATCACGGTCAGACAACATTGTGAATGTACTAAATGCCACTGGATTGCTCACTTTAAAGTGGCTAAAATGTTAAATCTTTTGTGATGTATCTTTCACTACAATAAAAAACACATGTATGTATTTTTCAAGAAAGGTAAAAGATAAGAAAAAATTTCTTTCTTTATTAACGTTTTGGTTTTTTATTGGTTAGGGATGTGATGGCCAGATCCATACTGGCAGCATGTCCATTACCACCAATTGTGATTATATCCCACGTGATGTGATGGCCAGATCCATACTGGCAGCATGTCCATTACCACCAATTGTGATTATATCCCACGTGATGTGATGGCCAGATCCATACTGGCAGCATGTCCATTACCACCAATTGTGATTATATCCCACGTGATGTGATGGCCAGATCCATACTGGCAGCATGTCCATTACCACCAATTGTGATTATATCCCACGTGATGTGATGGCCAGATCCATACTGGCAGCATGTCCATTACCACCAATTGTGATTATATCCCACGTCCCCCACCCAATTATCCCCTCAGTTATCCCTGACCTGCCTCCCCACTCCCCTTTCCTCACTCCACTGTGTACCCCTAGGTATGTTCTCTCCCTCTGCAAGTCCAACGCACCACTGTGGTCTTTCTTTCCTTTGAGAAGAAAAATTTTAAAATGGAAAAAAAAGGAGAAAAAAGTAAAAAAAAAAAAAAAAAAAAGGAAGGAAAACAAAAGGAAAAAGATGAGAAAAAAAATTTTAATTGAAAAAAAGAAAAAAGTAAACAAAAAAGGAAAAGAAAAAAAACTAGATTTTAGGAGTTGTATGCCAAGAGACAGGATGGAAGACCAAATACATATTTCACAATATCACAGTTGGGCAACCAGGAGATTTTTGCTCCTTGGGACAATGCATCATAAGGAGACTCATAAGTGAAAGTTCATGATCTCTACTCCACAATTCCAAAATAAGACAAAAACAAAAAACACTCTCTAAAACCCAAAAAGTGTTTTTGTAACTTTGGCATCAGGGTATTTGGCAACAAAACTGACCGTGAGCAAATGTGACGCCTCTGTTGTCTCAGCATTTGCCTCCATCGGTCACACACGCTTCTGCTATTTGCTGACATTTTGTGACTTGGAGACTAATTGCACTGAAAAACATCCACAGAGTTAACAATATACCTATGGGTAACAGCAAGAAGAAAAGGAAGCATCTGTCTTTATCAATAGCTCAGAAAGTGGAGTTACTGCAAAAGTTTGATGGTGGGTGTCTGTGAGGTGTTTCACTGAAGAATATGGTGTGGGAACCACCACCATATATGACTTAAAGAAACAGAAAGACAAGTTTTTCAAATTTTACAGTGACAGTGATAACCAAGAACTAATGAAAAATAGAAAAAATTGCATAGAACCAAAAATGATCTTGATCGTGTGTTGATTGAATGAACTTTGTTCTTTACAACAAAGAAGTAAAGATATGCCACTGACTGATTTGCTGTTTGTGAAACAAGCTAGAATATACCACAAAAAAATTGAACATTAAAGGTGAGTGTGAATATTTAGAAGACCAGCTGCAGAAATTTAAAAAACATCACGATGTCAAGTATCTTAAAATCTGTGGTAAAAAAGCTTCTGCTGATCACAAAACTGCCAAAAATTACATTGATGAATTTGCTAAGATAATATCTGAAGAAAACCTTAGCCCTGAACAGATTTTTAATGTTGATGAAACAGTTCTATACTGATGCTACATTCCTAGAAAAATGTTAACAATGGCTGACAAAAGGGCACCAACAGATTTCAAGAATGCCAAGCAAAGGGTAACTGTTCTTGGGTGTGCTAATGCTACAAGCACACACAAAATAAAATTGGCAGTGATTGGAAAAAGCCTAGGTCCAAGATGTTTAAAAGGTGTGCACAACTTGCTTGTGCATTATTATGCAAACAGGAAAGCATCACTAACAAGAGAAATCTTTTCTGACTGGTTCAATAAGCACTTTGTGCCAGCAGCACAAGCTCATTGCAAGCAAGCTGAACTGCAAAACAACTGCAAAATATTATTGTTCCTTACCGCTCATTCTGCATATTCCCCTCCCGAACTTCTTGTGAAAAGTAATATTTTTGGCATTTACTTTCCCCCATCGTGATAGCTGTACTATAGTCATGTGACCAAGGAATTCTACACTCCATGCAGAGCAAGTATAAACACTTTTTTGAACAGTGTGCTTGCTTCAGTTAACAGAGGACTGAAAATCCAGGACTTTCTTAAAGAATTTAGTCTTAAGGATGTCATGTACACAGTTGCTAATGCTTGGAATGATGTTGATAAGTCAACATTAACAAATGCTTGGCACAGACTTTGGGCTACAATGATGTTTGAAAATGACCTTGCCAGGCCGCCCCGTGGCTCACTCGGGAGAGCGTGGTGCTGACAACACCAAGTCAAGGGCTAAGATCCCCTTACCGCTCATCTTTTAAAAAAAAGAAAGAAAAAGAAAATGACCTTGCCAGGCCGCCCCGTGGCTCACTCGGGAGAGCGTGGTGCTGACAACACCAAGTCAAGGGCTAAGATCCCCTTACCGCTCATCTTTTAAAAAAAAGAAAGAAAAAGAAAATGACCTTGCCAATGAAGATTTTGAAGGATTTCAAGACTCAAATAAGAAAACGATGATATCAAACCTCATTACTTACGCCAAAAATTTATCAGCCAAAAGTGTAAATAAGTTAGAAGAAGCTGACATTGAAGAAATGCTGAACAGTGACAATGACGCACCTGTTGTGCATCCTTTGAGTGATGTAGAAATTGCTGAGATGGTGTTAAATACGGATCAATATGAAGATTGTAGTAGTGATGATGATGTCATTATGAGCACAGGTGAAAAAATCTCCATAGACCATGTGGTGATAATGTGTGACCGATTCATTGCTGGCCTTAACCAAAGTACATTTATCAGTGAGCAAGAGAGCATGGCAATTTACTCAATTAAAGAGAAACTGCTTAGACAGAAACCTGTGTTAAGGAAACAAATGACACTGGGAAAAGTCTCTCTGTGGTAATGCCTCTTCACTTGGGAATTCTGTTTCTGCCTCACAATCGTATGTCCAGCTCCGACCTGGTTTCATAGACAATGACGATACTGGTAAAATCTCTTCCAAGATTCTCAAGCAACCAAAAGAGATGAACATTTATTATATGTATCTGTGTTATGGGTTCGTTCTCATCAGTATGAATTTAAATTTTTACTTCAGAATTTCCTCAGAAATGAAAAGCTTTATCACAAGCAACAAAGGAAATAAGAAGCTTGAAATATGCATGGTCTATATTTATCCTGCTATTTCATTTAACAATAAATTTACTTACCAAAAAAAGAAAGAAAAAAACCTTAAAAAGCAGGACCTTCAAACATACCTCATAGTCCTGTAACTGTGGAGGGAAGTCAAATGCATAAAAATCAGATAGCAAATTTAGATATCATAAGGGATGTTTCTTTCCCAGAGCTCTGAGCAAAAACAAAAGGGAAAACCCCCTAATGTTGCCAGACCTTTTAGAGAGTTCCTTATATACTCCCTGCCCACCACCCCAGCCCCCCACCAGAGTGGTACATGGGTAACAACTGACGAATCCATTAGTTATCACCCAGAGTTCACGGTTTACATTAGGATTCGCTCTTGGTGTTGTCGATTCTATGGGTTTGGACGAACGTAGAATGACATGTATCCACCATTAAAGTATCATACAGAGTAGTTTTCCTGCCCTAAAACTCCACTGTGCTCCACCTATTCATCCCTTCCTACCCCAACCCCTGGCAACCACCGATCTTTTTTACTATCTCCATAGTTTCTGGCTCTTCCAGAATGTCAGATAGCTGGGACCATATTTGACGATACTTCGAAACATTTGTGGAAAAAAATGGAATTAAAAGATGATACATCTGGTTAGCTCAGTTGGTTAGAGCATAGTGCTGATAACACCAAGGTCCAGGGTTTGATCCCTGTACCAGCCAGCAGCCAAAAAAAAAAAAAAAAAAATATATATATATATATATATATATAGTACTAAT